GAAAGAAGTAAAAAACAACTTGATTCAATCTGAACTTTTGTTCCTCAGGAAGCTAAAGAAGCTTTTCAGGAAACTGAAGGATGAAAGAACTGAGCCAAAGGAAATGGACAGCAGTCAATCAAAGGATCCTCAGCAATGGGATCTGGACTATATCTTGGAACCTTTCACTGGACTGACTCCAGAATATATGGAAATGAGTAAGTTTTCTAAATTCCCTTTTCATTTCTGCAGTAATCATAGTTTTATGTAGGACCAATATCATATGACTGTATCTCATAAACAGGCATGATAAGCAGGGGGTGGAAACAAAATTCTTGTAGTTTGCAGAAATTGTATGCAAGACAGCAGGACTTTGAGACTACTGCATTACCAGCATAGCAATAATGATGAGTACTATTATCTGTTAATGCTTATACTGTAAGAGTTCACTGTTCCCAATTCAGAAAAGTGCATAGAAACCATTCGGCCACAGAATCCCGGAATCACTGAACAGCTGACGTTGGAAGAGACCTCTGGAGATCATTTAGGTCAACCCCCTGCTCAAAGCAGGGTCACCTAGAGCAGGTTGCTCCCATCTGTCATACCATTTTTTTATGATGCACATTCTCAATTTTTTTAAGTAACGTGTGAGTACTTCCTCTGCGTGCATCACCCACCCTGCTGTAGTGACTACTAATGATGTGTACTGCCAGACATCTGGTCATTTTTCAAGCCCATGTAAAGTCAAGAGTATTCTGAGTTTGTAAATCTGGTGCCTGCCATGAGTATATAATTTATATATTTGTATGTGCTCGTTGTTTTTCATGTTTACTTAAATTGCTGCTAACCTGTGGAAGAGATCAGTACTTTTTCAAGGTTGCTCCACAGTTTGCTTTTCAACAAGTATGTTGATGGCAACCCAGGTGGACTTGGAAGCAATTCTTCCTCAAAGTGGCAAGATACTGGCACTTAGGTGTTTGGTAACCACACCACTGGGCCAGGGAGACAGCAGTTGCTGATTTCCACTAGGTGGGATCCAGGAGCTGGATCTGTTGCTTCATGGTAATGCTCCTTTCAAGATACATTGTCTTTCAGAGAGGAACAATACAGTCCTTTTTTTTTTAGTCTGGAAGTGTGGATTGCTCTTATCCTAGCGACTTGGTCCATCATTAACATATTATTAAAAGATTTTCTGATTTAGGATTTGAGGTCAATGTGGCCACTATAAGTAATTTTAGACATAATATTAGAGGTTTTTCTGCTATTTGGAAGGCAAGTCAAGAAAGAAACTTGAAAGCACTGAGTTTGTTCACATAAGACACCATTAATAATTTATTTTTATTATAACATGTTTGGCATTGTGCCACTGTCCTCAGAAGTTACAGTTTGGAAGTCTGCTCCCTTTGGAGTCTTGATTGCATTTTTCTCAAGAGAAAATGTAACTTCATTGTCCAAAGTTGCATTAATACTTATGAAATGATGTTTGAAATTCTGAGTACAGCGCCTGGCGTGTATAAACGGATCAAGAGAGCAAATCCAGCAACTAGGCATTTTTGGTACAGTTCTGCTTTTTAAGGAATCCTCTAGTACCTCCTCTCAGCTTTCACTGCGTTTATTTGATAGCATTTATCTCCATGCATCCACTTGCACTCATTCACTGCTCCAGCAGGAGCAGCTCACACACTGCGATCAAGCAGTACACTACAGATGAATTAGCTGAGGACAAATATCAAGCACCTGACAGAGAATTCCAAAGTGAAATATATATTTGCCCTCTTTCTCATTCTGAAGTGTGTTTGTTATAAACTCCAGGGAGTATCTCTATGATTTATCAGAACCCAGGAGGTCAGAGGGTGCAAATAATGGCCAGATAACTAATTCTTGCAGCTCTGGAACACAATCCATCCTCAACTGTCCTCAGGGAAAAAAAACTGAGAGGAAACAGCACACAGGGGTGCTATGGAGTAAGTAAGAGGCCAGAATCTTCGCACCAGATACAACCCAAAACTTCAGTGTGCCCTTCAGCCCTGTAGCCGCTTCATGAGTAGACCCTGGAGAGACATGGAAGGGGAAAAGGGGAATGGTATGGATAGAGAGGGGAGGAGGGGGAGAAATAATCAAGGCAAACCCAAGCTTTAGGGCATGAAAATATTCTGAAGAAAACCACTGCTTGTCAATGAGCATGTTATCTAAAACCAGACATATCTTAAATATTGTATGTGACAACTCCTGTTTTAACAAGCCACTATTCTCAAAAT